TTTTTCTTTCCCGCGGCCTGTTGCCTGGCAGGGACTGCCCTGCCCCGAGAGCCGCTGGGTGCCCGGGCTGGCCTGGGAAAGGTCTCGGAGTCTCCTTTTGTTGTCGCTGCCGTCTGCAGGCAGGCGAGGGAAAGAAAAGAGCACGCGCGGGGACCCACACAAAAACCCCCCCCTAAGATTTCCAAATTGCTGTCTTTTTTGCGAGCGTTACAAACGGCAAGCACTGAGCTACCGTGGGAGGCAGCAGCTCAGGTGTCTCGCAAATCCCCTGTCTTATAAAGCGTCTCCTGGGCCAGAGCAGTCAAGGGAGAGAGACCTTTTGATTTGCTTCCAAGTGAAACGGGACTGTTTTTTGTTTGTTCCTAGGTTCATCCGGAATTGTACGTTGACAAATCAAGGGGAGAAAAACTGAAGATCAATCTAGATGTTATTTTCCCACATATGCCTTGTGCTTGTGAGTCAGAGTTCTGGATAATTTTCATACTTGCCGAGGGCCTGAGAGGCTCAGTGTGCCCTGGTGCTTCTGAGTGCAGCACTGCTGCTTGAGCCGCAGACAGGGAGGAATTGGTGATCCCTCATGGTCACACAGTGATTCCAGCCAGGCCCGCTGGGCGCTTAAACCAGTGCTTCCAGTCAGGCAGTATTGTTTTTCTAGATTATAAATGAAGCGAAGGTGTAAACCCACTTACATTCCTGTATGGTGTTGTACTTTGTCAGAGAGCTCAGTAATGCTGAAAAAGCTGATGCAGTGTTCGCTCCGGACTCAAGGTTTGACTGTATCATTGTTGAAAAACTTTGTCTCCTTTGGAAGTTACCTGATGAGGCACAACTTTTTCATGACTTTCGTACTTAAATTCTGACTGTAATGCCAATGCCACGTGATAACCTTTCTCCAGAATTTTAAAAGCAGAATAAGTGTTAATAATCTGACTACCTTACTAAACTCAAAGTTGCAGGATGAAGTGATGGAAAATTTTTCATGTCTTACGGGGTATTACTGCTGTGCACGTTATCTGACTGTCTGCTAATCTTTCCTGCTTCTTGCTCTGTTGGTAGTTCCTTTAGGTAATGCATTGGGCTCTAAGTCTGACTTCCTTCTGACCACCCAAGGTATTATTGGCCTTTGCCTTCCTCACATTTAATAGGGCAAGGGAAGGCCAGAGAGACTGGGTGCCTCTACTGTTTTGTGCAGAGAAGCTGTTGGTCTTACAAGAGAGCGTGTAGCCAGCCAGTGCATCGTGGTGTTTTCATACCAGGCCAAGACCACAGACCTTCTCAGTCCTCCTTGTGAAAAGGGATCACAAGGAAATGTGCTGATGTTGAAGGGGGAAGAGTGAAGGGGTAGAGGTAGGAGGCAGTTCCAACTGATTTTAAGCTTGACTCCTGAAGCAGCGTTTGTGAAAATGGGATTTTAAGCTTGACTCCTGAAGCAGCGTTTGTGAAAATGGTTATGAGCTTTGAGGGGTTTGGTTTTGTGTTTTTGCCTTTCAGGGTAACAATTACTGTGGCAGCTGGAAGCAGTCGTTCTTGTACACCAAGCCCCATATTTGGAACCAAGCCCTGTGATTTGGAAGGGTCATTTAGGGTCCTGCAACATACGTTTTATTCCCTGTACATCACTTGGCCCCAGCCACACACAGTTTTCCAGTTTGGCACATTCTTATTCCCTGGCTGAAAGATTCTGTACTTTCACTGGTTGCATGCTTCCTTAGCCTGCCATAGGCCATAACAAACATGTGTTTATAGACAACTTCCTTTGCTTGTTGGTTTCAGATTTGAGCATTGATGCCATGGATGTAGCAGGAGAGCAGCAGCTGGATGTCGAGCACAATCTATTTAAACAACGTTTGGATAAAGCTGGCAATCGTGTGACTCCAGAGGCTGAGAGGCATGGTAAGGTGCTCTTCTGACTTTCTTAGATGGGTGCTCTTGTAATGTTTCCATCACCGTATGCTGGTTTTGAGATTCATGGGAACAAGTGGCAGCTGAAGAGCACTTAAACACCACAAACTCTTGAAGAGTTTATAGCACACAAACCTTTTAAACTGACAGGTCAGACAGACTATTGTTATTCTTGCTACTTTTCGACACAAATCTTTGCCTAGTCGCTCTGAAATTACAAGGGTTCATGGATGCATTTCAGGAATAAAGCTGCTGAGGTAATGGTCTCATACAACTAGGAATCAAGCAGCTGTTCTGGCAAAACTTGACTTTGGTTGTATCTTTAAATCACAGGGGACTGACAAATGGGACGACCTGGTTAGAGGAAAGAACCTCTCTCCAGAGAAGGCTCCAGTGACTCGACAGTTAAGCCTAAACTTGCACCTTATTACATTTACTTTGTGTTAATGCATACCTGATAAACGTATTTTAGTTGATTTATCGGTTACAAGTTGTAGTAAGTGGTTCTTGGCTACATAAACATCTCTTCTGCTTATTTTACATGTTATGGCTCATCATTGTACTTTGACACGCACCAGAAGCAATCCTGGTGAAGTGTTGCAATCTGACAGTAACACTGTCCTGACTTTTCCTTTCCAAAACATGAGCTTCTTATTACCTTTTCTGGGAGATAGTGTAGTTCTACATATCAGCGTGAACTGAATTTGTTCATTTGTATCACTGGGATTTGACTCTTTTGTTCTTGAAATTGAAAGGCTAAGCTAAGCCAAGATCTGAAAAATGGTAGGTAGGAGAGCTTCTCCTGTTGGTCACTGGAATGTGGTGATAATGTTCTTACTGTTGTGTCACTTAGCAGCCTTTCTGTATTCAGAGGTTGTGGCATTACACATGTAATGTCTAGGGACAAAAGCACCTTTTCTGTATCTAATTCTCAGTTAACACCTGCAGGTGTCCTGCCTTGTATTGCCAGTCTCCATCACGATTACTCTGAACTGGTTGCTCTGACTCCTTATATAATCAATGGAGAGGAAGAGAAACTCCTAGGGAGAAAAACACCTTGCCTAGAGGAGGCACTTTAAAATCAGATGCATTGCATGCAACAAGTAGTTTCTTCTGCTGTCCAGAAAAAGTACACGGCTAGTTTGGTTTCCATCACCCATGTTGCAGATGAGCACAGCAGTAACTATCCATCTTCACTAAACTCCGTGATTATCCATTTCTGTTAGTAAGACTGACATTCAGTCAGTTACTTAAATGGCCACTGTAGCAGTATTGGCCTTAAATTTAGTAGAGCATACCTAAATTTTATGGAGTAGTGTCTGGAGGTTTTTCCTAATCATACTTACATTAAACTAGTTAGCTTAATGATTTCTGTGGTAGGTTGCAATCTGTGGTTGGCTGTCGTCTTACTTGTTTCCTTTGCATGATGATAAGTGATTGAATTCTTTACTGGTGGTTTGTATAGTTTCCTTCCTTTTAACGTGGGCAGGGTTTTCCAATTTCACCTATTGTATCTGCATGCAGGTTGAGGACCATGTTAAAGCCAGAAACCCTGGATGCACAGTTTTATGTACTGTGCATTACCTCTGGAAGCTGTCTCTGAAACAACTCAGGCAGCTACTGATTACATTTTGGTTGCTGTATTTTGAAAGACTCCATGTATTGTACAGGCATTCTCAGTCAAGTGGTAGGAATCATGGCTTTGACAAAGCATAGCAATTTTTAAGCTGATCCTTCCTGATGCTCTCTTTAAGTGTAATTACAAGATTAAAAGCCATACTGCTTTTTAAACAGTGAGTTCTTAAGTGCACTTTCAACTACTTTGAATATTGTAGGTTTCAGAAAGAAAGTTTTGCACAGTTGTTTAATGATGGGTATATTTTCTTAAAAGTTTTACCGTAAAGTATGTGATTAAAGAAATAAGGTTAATGATTTATTTTCATGCATTTCATACTTTGTAATTAAAATCTCTTTTTTCTGTGGCTAATATGAGATACAGACATCTTTAATACTCACTTCCATCCACCTGTTCTACTTCCCAATCTCAACAAGCAGGGTCCTGCCAGCATTTTATGCCCTCAGCAGTGTCTATGTACCTTGTCACCCTCCCCAGCACTAGTTATCCAAGGAGCCACCTTTTCAAGGCTTATAGAGGGTAGTGCAGCAGCGCCTAGATAGTAAGCCTTAAGAGTGCTTTTGTAACCCAAGAGACTGAGTCCTGTCCTTCAGGGTTTGTGAGTTAAATCAGCCTGATTTTAAGAGGGCTTCTTCTGTAAGAGCCAATGTTTTTGAAAATTTTAGATACAAAATTCCTTGGCTCGCTTATTCCTCCAAAACTTGCAGACCTTTGATATTTGTTTTGATTCTTGAAAAAACAGAAGTCCTGTTTGAGTTGTCTATAGGCATCTCCTGCGCTTTGGCAGGTTTCAGCTGTCACTAGCTCTCGTCTCCTCTGTTACAAGTCCCTCTACAGCCTTCTGCACAGGACATAAAACTCCATGAGTTCATGCCCCAGCCGTACTGCAGCTGCATATTTAACACGCATGTGGCACAGACATCACCAGAATTGTTGAGTCACAAAGAGCAGTGGCTAATGCATATGCCTTGTCAGCATTGTCTCCCGCTCGGGAGACTCCCACTCTCATCTTGTTTCACAGCAATATATAACCGTGTTCCCTACATATCTTGGGACAGGATTATGCATTATGCACTGTTGATTGCTATTTAAGATTTTGTTTGTGTAACAGGTGCTGTATCAGTTGCAATTTAGTGATCGGGTCTACTTTAGACAGTGTTTTAAACTAAAATAAAGCCTTTATGCAAGTAACATCTGATCAGCACTCCAGCAAGGCTTACAGATAGGCGATTCTTTCTATGGAGGATGTTCTTGAGTTCACAAGTGCTACTCTACTGCTTGATCTTACTTCACACCCCAGCAGGCTCTATGCATACCATTTCAGGTGGGCTTTGGGTGCAGGAAGCACATCTTCTGACACAAAATTTTTACATTCATATGTATAACACTTATTGCATGTAGGACAGAACAAGAATACAAGATAGTGTTTCTAGACATGCCTCATCACTTTGACTCCTCTTTTGTCTTAGAGCTGGGGAAAGAAGAAGAAAAAGTGTTTGATCCAAATTCTTTGGATGCAAATCGCTGTGAGAGCTGTTACGGGGCAGAGTCAGAGGACATACGGTAACCTTTTTGTATCTTCTTAGCACTTGAATTCTTACTGTTATGTGGCATGCATTTTTTAATTTTTTTTTTTTTCCAAAATGTCTGTGGAGGTCCGTGCAATGAAATCCTCCTGGGCACATGTTCAGAGAATGGTGAAAACTATTGTGGTTTTGGTGTGCCTTTGGAAGCTGCACTCACAATTGTTGAGAACATGCAGAGCTGAGTTGTCTAGTTTCTGCGTGCCAGTTTAAGGTCAGTGCAAATTGCACTACTTTTGCAGTAGCACAAAGATTGTATCTCAGCAAATGGAATCTTTTCTGGGGTTATTTTGTGTCTAGAGGGGAGCTGTGTAAATTATTTCACTGTTACTGTCTTGGAATAAAACCTGGTTATGGCTTTGCCTTCTCATTTCTACTGCAGGCTTTGCATCCTTATGGGAGCAAAGACCAGACATTTATTGCTCACACAAACAACAGGTGTCATTTGGTGTTTCTCATTCCTCCTACCTGCGAATTCATGTAAGAATAGATCTGTGATAGTCCATAGATTCTGGACTATCCTTTCCTGTTATTGTCTTTGTAGTAACTTGGTTTGTCCTGCCTGTCAAGTTGCGTCCTTCCCCAGAGGTGTTTCCATCTTGAGGGGTTCATGACTTCAGCCTTCCACTTTTCCTTTGGTCCAGCAAAACATGGAACCAAGAAAGAAAACTCCTTTCTGGTGACCACGATGTTATCCAGGGGTAGAAAAGTAACGAAGAAAGTTTGCAATTAACCCTCCCTCCAGTGTTGACAGTCTTGCTGTAAAAACAGAGGAAAGGAGGAACAGAAACAGGCAGATGCTTTGTTCACATGGGGAAGTTCCAAACTGCTCAGAGCTGTGGGACACTGGTTTTTGTAGCAGATTTCTTTGCCAAGGACTGACTTGGCTGTGTAAATGGACAGGCAAAGCCCTCTTCACAGTCAAGCACTGTATTAAAACAGCTTGCATCCTCATACCAAAATCTCGGTCAGGCTACTTTTCAACATTCATTCTCTGATGTTTGCTTTATTGCTTTGTTGAAGAAAAAAAAAAAAATCCACCAAGCATTCAGGTCCTGAGCTGGAGCATCTCTTTAGAATGATAACAATAAGATGGTACTTGTGCTTTTGCAGGTGTTGTAATACTTGTGACGATGTCAGAGAAGCATACAGGCGGCGAGGCTGGGCCTTCAAGAACCCGGATAGCATAGAGCAGTGCAAGAGGGAAGGGTTTAGCCAGAAAATGCAAGAGCAGAAGAACGAGGGCTGTCAAGTGTATGGTTTCCTAGAGGTCAACAAGGTGAGAGATGGATTTTGCTGTGAACCTGCTGCATGATGGTGGGGACTGTGAAAAGGCAGGGTCGGGGCATGCCTCTCCTCTTCCAGCTTCAGGTGTTCACAGGACTGTACTAGAACAACCCCTAGGCGGCAAGGTACTTGTGCCTGCAAAGTGGTTCAGCTGCAGAGTCAGGAAAAGCAGTGGGAAGGGGCTAATTCTCTGTTTCTTTGTGTGGGCTGGTAGGGAGTGTGCCAGCTGGAGAAGCTTAGCTTTTCTAGCTAGTGGGGAATCTTTCTGCCAAGGTTTCTGGAGGAGAGGCAGCTTCTTTGCAGTTAGATTGTCCCACATGCCCTGCTAGTCTTGAAACGGAGACCACCAGTGAATGCTGGAGTTAACAGTAACCAACAACTAGCCAGCAGAGGTGCTGGAGAGAGTGAAATGTTGTTTAGAAAAGCAGTGGAAGCAAGGCTATTGGAGCTGGTGATTGAAGCTGAAAATGCTCAGAGAGGTGTTTTTTGCAACTGGTGTATAAAAGTGTAGTATGAGTCAAACGAAGTAACTCTGTAACCACCCTGGCATTTTGAAGGGTTACCAAACCCAAAACACTTGAGCATGCAAATTACATGCCCAAGAACCTTCTAGAAGTCAGGCCCAGACTAATTTTTTTTTTTTTAATGCAAGCAATTTTTTTTTTTGCATACTCTTCCTGGAGACCACATTCTTTATCTCTGGAAAGTAAACCTTTTACTCACAAAGCCAGACATTGTGATTTGAGCATCATTATGGATACCAAACTGTTACAGGACCCTCTGTCACAAAGTGTGGTGAGCAGGAAGGATTCAAAGGTGAATGCTGGAGGTAGCAAGGGTCCAAGGGTGGGTGTCACTGGGGAAATTTCTGGGTGGCGTTATTATGCGCTTGGGATTTTGCACATCTCCATTCCTGTCAGGTCTGCACTTAATATAAGCAATAGGTTTGCACAGACGTTGAGGGTGTAATGTAGCACATAAGATTGGGACATTCACATCTTCAAGGGGAGAGTGTGTATGACAGCGAGTAAGTGTCAGGGAGGATTGGCACCTAATATCCATATCCTTTCAGATTCCAAGATGAAATTTTAACAGCATTTGTCTTTTGGGGTTTGTTTTGATTTGGGGGGGGGGAGGAGGGGGCAGGGCGGGATGTTTGTAGGTTTAGTGCATTACTTTTGGATGCAGCTTATTTTCATGGATGAATACATAGGATCACTGTTGTTTATTGTATTAAGGGTTTTCTTACCCTGATCTCCCTCCCTCTCAGTTACTTTCTCCACTCCTTTTCTGTGGTACTTTCTTTGTATTTTCTGCAGCAGCAGTCAGGTCCCTCCCAATAGACTTAATTCCTTTTTCTTCCCTTTTTTTGTCCACTGCAATAATCTGCATAGAACAGTTATCAACATCAGTATGTAATTATGGCTTTCCACATGACTGCCTGTGAGAAAGTGAAATTCATACCCCTTTTAGGACAGTATCTGCTGATGTTGTCACGTATGAAAATCGTTGCTTGGTGTATATCTTGTTTAAACAGAAAAATTAAAAATACAAGCACCAGCACGACTGCTTTATTTATATAGATTCAGGCCTTTTAATGAAAGATTACTGTCTCCTGCAGGTAGCTGGAAATTTCCATTTTGCACCAGGAAAAAGTTTCCAACAGTCTCATGTACATGGTAAAGTATTTTCTTTTCCTGCTTATTGTGACCTTTAGCTTCCAAGTGTATCTGACCATTTTCTTTGAATATCTTTGCGTTGCCATGTGTAGTAACAACAGCACTGCTTCAGTGGGGAGGACGTTATTGAAGTTTTGCTACAGAGGTTTAGAGCAATCATGAACAAACAGAAAAATGTTTTCTGGAGGTGCTGCCACATGGGTATGGAAGAACTTGGAGGACAATGTTTCTGGGCAGTCTCTCAGTCTCACTTGTTCTACAAAACTTCACTGCTCTGCTGTAAAACAACCTCAAGGAAGGTGTTCAGTCCAGGACCTGAATATCAGTATCTCTGGAAGGGATATTTTGGAGAATACATCAGAATTCTAAAGCAATTCAGAACTTGTAGAGTAAAATTTAAGTTGTAAAGGACTTTCTCAAGTATATATAAATATACAGTGGCCAGAATAATAGTGGTAGTTTATAGAATCATGGAATGGTTTGGGTTGGAAGGGACCTTTAAAGGTCATCTAGTCCAACCACCCCCTGCAATGAGCTGGGAAATCTTCAACTAGATCAGGTTACTCAGGGCCCTGACCAACTTGACCATGAATGTTTTCAGGGATGAGGCATCTACCACCTCTCTGGGCAACTTGTTCTAGTGTGTCACCACCCTCATCGTAAAAAATTTCTTCCTTAGATCTAATCTGAATCTACCTTCTTTTAGTTTAAAAACGTTACCCCTTGTCCTGTTGCTACAGGCCCTGCTAAAAAGTTTGTTCCCATCTTTCTTATAAGCCCCCTTTGAGTACTGGAAGGCCACAATAAAGTCTCCCCAGAGCCTTCTCTTCTCCAGGCTGAACAACCCCAGCTCTCAGACTCTCTTCATAGGAGAGGTGATCCATCCCTCTGATCATTTCTGTGGCCCTCCTCTGGACTTACTCCAACAAGTTCATGTCTTTCCTTTGCTGAGGGCCCCAGAGCTGAAGGCAGTGCTCCATGTGGGGCCTCATGAGAATGGAGTAGAGGGGCAGAATCACCTCCCTTGACCTGCTGGCCACGATTCTTTTGATGCAGCCCAGGATACGGTTGGCTTTCTGGGTTGTGAGCACACATTGCTGGCTCATGTCCAGCTTTTCATCCAGCAGCATCCCGAAGTCCCTCTCTGCAGGGCTGCTCTCAATCCCTGAATCTCCCAGCCTGTATTGATACCGGTGGCTGCCCCAACCCAGGTGCAGGATCCTGCACTTGGCGTTGTTGAACCTCATGAGGTTCACCTAGGCCCACCTCTCCAGCCTGTCCAGGTCCCTCTGAATGGCCTCCCGTCCCTCAGGTTTCAACTGCACCACCCAGCTTGGTGTCATCTGCAGACTTGCTGAGGGTGCACTTGATTCCACTGTCGATGTCATTAATGAAGATATTAAACAGCACTGGTCCCAGTATGGACCCCTGAGGGACACCACGTGACACCAATCTCCATCGAGACATCGAGCCGTTGACCACTGCACTCTGGATGCAACCATCCAACCAATTCCTTATCCACTGAATAGTCAATCCATACCTCTCCAATTTAGAGTGAAGGATGTTGTCGGGGACCATGTCAAAGGCCTTACAGAAGTCCAGATAGGTGACAACGTCCACTGATGCAGTCACTCCATCGGAGAAGGCCACTAGGATGGTCAGGCAGGACTTGCCCCTGGTAAAGTCATGCTTGCTGTCTCGATTCACCCGTGTCCTCCATGGACCTCAGCAGAGCTTCTAGGAGGATCTGTTCCGTGATCTTCCCAGGTCCAGAGGTGATGCTGATGGGTCGGTAGTTCCCAGTGTCCTCCTTTCTACCCTGCTTAAAGATGGGTTCAATGGTTCCCTTTCTTTAGTCACCAGGGACTTCACCTGACTGCCATGATTTTTCTAATATCATGGAAAGCAGCTTGACAACTTCATCAGCCAATTCCCTCAGGACTCTAGGATGCATCTCATCAGGTCCCATGGACTTGTGTATGTTCAGGTTCCTCAGATGGTCACAAACCTGGTCTTCACTTACGGTGGGAGGGACTTTGCTCTCCCAGTCCCTGCCTTATATCTTTAACAGGAAGTTGATTAGAAATATTTGTGGTTTAATGGAATGTTTGCGGTTCCCTTGATCAAGTTTTTGAAGTGTGAAGTTTCACAAAGAGCTTTAATTTCAGCCTGATTTTTCCCCTTCCTCTCTCTCACTCCAGTTTAACCTGTACCACTGAGGTAAAGGTCAGGGGAGGATGTCAATATGTTTTGTGAGAGTAACTGGTGTATTTGGAGAAAGACAAGCAAGCTTTTGAGCACAGTTTCTACAGATGAAGAATCAATTGGCGGGGGGAGATCCCAAAAAAAAAACCCCACCTGTTTTCCCACACAATATTAATTGTTGTTAATAATAAAATATTTCACCTCTTCCCGCAGAACTTGCTTTGTGTGATCAAACTGGCATAACAACAGCAGCCTTACTACAGCCAGTATTCACAACTTCACAGCATGTATCTAAGTTAATGAGAAGCATCTCCCCATTGCATCTGTTCTCTGTCATAGGCACGAATGCAAGCTGACTGTCCTGAGAGCAAGTACTGTGTGTGTGCAGAGGAGGGGGTGAGGTCAGGACAGCTGTTTAACTGTGTATGCCCCAGAACTGAAAATTCAGTGGAAAAATACAGGTGAAAACCAGAAGGGACTACGTAGTTACTGCAGACCTTTCAGAGGCAGAGTTAAGAATATTGGTGTTTTGAGGACAATGAAAAGGAGTAGGAGGTGATCAGCAGACAAACTTTCCTCTTTCTGGGAATTCTGTCACATTAAATAATGAGGAATAAAGGCCTCTAATACTTTTCTCCATGTGCAACTGTTTTCAGCTCTTGGGGTCTCCTAAGTCTGTAATGATCTATTGAGATCCCTCAGTGGCTCTCTTTCAGGTACTTTTCCCATCTCACCATGAGCCCACGTAAACATTTTGCATGTACAACACCCTGTTGCGAGGCGCTCAGCAGGTCTGCTCTGCTGTAAGAAAAACCACCTCCCCTGGCTTGCTTGTTCCTGCTGGCTGTAGCTGATGGCCGTTGTTCCTCTGTTGGGAA